TTCGTGAAATAGATGCCTTGCGTATTACATTTCTTAGACCTACTCATCAGAAAAGATTTGTCGCAGTTGCAGCACGTGAGACTTTCCTTCATAAAGCTTTCGTGGTTTTGAATTATTATAACTAACTAAGGAACAATGAATAATAATTACTCTATTGGGTACTTTTAATTATTGTAATCTTTATTTTTAACTGATTACTCATGGTTATTCCGCTCGTAAGCATGTTCAATTTATATTGATTTGCCATTGTTTACCATTGCATTGATTGACAAATAGGGTGTAAACTGATCGGGCTATCACTAAATTGTAGTCTTGAGACGATGCATGAATAACATGTTGATGTTGTTATTATTTTTTTTAATGTAAATTCGGAATCAGAAAGAAATCATATTTGGTAATAATATAAAAATTAGCTGTAATAATTATTATAGCTATTTATATTGTTTGTTTATGTCTCATAGTTTTTCGCCTGATATTTTTTTTTTCACACTTTCCATCTTTCTAATCTCGTGTCCAAATTTCATTATTATGATGTTATAAATTACGCTATTTTAATTTTTTTTTGTAATTGGCCGAAACGTAACTAACTGCGAACAGCCAAGAAAAATAAAGAAATAGTTGTAAAGGCGCATTAGGGCCGGTTCACACATGGTTCAGAGGACAAGCGTTAGCGTTTCAACCAGGACTGGGCAAAATTCATGCTGTTTCATTTAAAATATAAATTACAGAATATTTTCATGAGGTGTATTACAAATATCAAACATAAAATCTGGTATTTTGTCCTCAACTATTTAAAATACAAAATACATTAGTCATTACTAACTGGATTCCACGAAAGTATTAGTAATAGCGTGTGTGTGTATATTGAGTGAGCATTCGTTATAGAAAGTTTAAAAATATTAGTATTTAGTAACGATTGTAAACCTCATTAGTTTTATTTGTAAAAAGATAGAACAAAAGATACATAATTTAATGTGGGCTCACGTAGTTCTCACAGAGGGCCAGTGAGCATCTTCGTAGGTATATGTTGTGTATATATATTGAGAATATTTATGATACCAAACACTGACTTATTATTAAGGGAATAAATATATGTCACTATCGAAATCCTCATTTTTAAACAAATTGACGTCCGTAATCCCTGGTTCTCTGCGGAGGAATTTGCGATCAAAAATGTAAACAAAGGTGCCAATGATAACTGCTTGGAGGCTGAAATAGGTAAGGTGACAGTATTTTCCTGAACGAACTCTTTTACGAGGAAATCTACTGCACTTATGCGGCAAATTTCGTACATATGGCTTAACGCCTTCTGCGCTTTACTAGAGTGGTAGAGCTGGGAAAGTAGCCAGTACAGGAAAATGTACAACTTCGCTTCTGAATGGTTTTTATCTTGTACCGTTATGTATTAATAGCTGTGGTAGTTACCGCGGAAATCTTAAGAATTATAAACTGGTAACATGTTCCTTTTACTACACTAGTATACTTTGTATTATACAGGCCCTTGTCTAGTAGGTAGTGTAGTACGTCGTAACATCATCTACGCTATGTCCTTGACTATCACATCATATTACTTAGTTAGTGTTTTATAATCAAATGACCTATAAAGATGTTACAAAATGTTTAAATGATTGATGAAGAATTAACTGTTACTCTGATTTCGTTTAATTAACCAAATTTTATTTTTATAAATTTATATCAATGCATGTTTATATATTTACTTTGTTTTTGAAGTTTTATAAATCATTTGAACCGAAGTCAGTGATGAGCATACTTATAATTTTGATACATAATATGAACAGTGAAAGACGTAATCGCTAAATGTAGTTCTCTTGGTTTTACCAATAAAGAAATAAATACCAATAATATGAGAAGTCCTTAGAAAAGATTAAGGTTTTTTTTTATTTATAACATCAAGTGCCTGGACGAACAAGTCGTGTTTTCGTCGTTAGTCGTTTATGATTGCAAAGATCTGAGGGGCACTACCACTGCGCCTGTCACCCTGAGACATAAGTTGTCAAGCCCCATGTGCCTGTAATTTCACCAGCACCCTTACCTTTCAAAACCGGAGCACAGTAATGCTGACATTACTGCATGGCGGCAGAAATAGGTGAGGTGGCAGTACTTCCCTGGGCGAACTCTTTCACAAGGAGCTCTACTGCTGTTGTAAGTTTTTGACTGAAAACAGTTTTTAACGCTAATTTTATCATTACAATGACTAATACGCATCACATTTATCGACACGCAGTCGCGTAAAGCTGGTTAGAAAAAGTTTTAAGTCCATGAAATAAGAGCGAAGAAGAAGCGCGTTTCTCATTGGCTCGTACGACGTGCGTAACTCCGCATGGGTCCTCAACGAATCAGCTGACTACAAATGTCCGATCGCGTCCGTACGCAGCCGACGACGGCTGACGATGGCGGCGTCAATATTGGACAAGTGTGGTACAACAAGAGCGCCTCAAGCCGATTTCGTGTCAACAATTTTGTCGCCTTTAATAATGCCTGTATTTGTATACGAGGTATAAGAAAATGTAGTTGTAAGAAAAACACTGTAAAATTACAATACTACTTAGTTTGAAAACGAGATGAATAGATAGTAATATGGTCACTTCATGGTCGATATTCTTTTTATCAGTTGCATACTATACATTACAATGAACAACATTTCATCGACAATTCCGATCGACTTCACCTTCTTCTTAGTGCGCCACTTCTCTACGAAGGTTGGCAACCATCGTGGCTATTCTCATTTTTGAAGCTGCCGCACGAAAGAGGGTACGAGTGCTAAGGTGGAACCATTCTCTCAGATTCTTTAACCAAGAGATTTTCCTTCTGCTACAACTACACTTTCCTTGTATTTTTCCCTGCATTATTAGTTGAAGAATCCGGCACCTTTGCCCCTTATTACGTGACTAAAATACTGCAGCTTCCTTTCCTTTACAGTTCTGAGTATTTCCAACTTTTTTCCCGTTCGTCGAAGAACCTCAATATTAGTGACCTTTTGTAACCACGACATGCCAGGCATACCTCTGTAGAGCCACATCTTAAAGGACTCCAGTTTTGAGCATAATGCTGGGGTCAAGGTCCGATACTCCGTACCAAACAGCAAGATACTGAAGACATAACTCCACTTCACTCCACCTCGACTTCACCAGAGAGTTGTAAAAGTTAAAATAGTCGTATCTGTTTTGTACTTGTCGTTTTAAGTTAATACGCATCGCAACGACATTCATTAAGATCCTACATTACAGAATGAATGAATGAATGAAATACTCTTTATCGCACATTAAAAATTACGTTGACAAAACAGAACAGTAATGTAAGTATCACAGAGTAAGATAATTAACACACATAATAACTGATAACAGGCGGCCTTATTGCTAAGTAGCAACAGAATATCGAAGTCCTCGCTATTCGTGACATGTAAATGCCTGGATCTTATTATTATATTCTATTAATATATTTTTCCTGTAATACACAAGTAAGACTTTATTGCACACAATTAAAGCGCGAATTTTTCCTTGAGTGAGAGATAATTTCCAGTTATGAAAAAGCAAATACAATGTATTAATAAGGGAATTAGTAAAAACAATCATGTATTTGGAAAAATAAATCCTCAGATCTGACTTTAAAACTAATAATACTGGAATTCCCCAAGGTTCCTTCCTAGGTCCGTTGATGTTTCTTCTCTATATTAACGATGACATTAACAATCTTTCACGGACCATTGACCATAAATATGTGTAATTTATCAAGGCAACAACATTAATAATAAAATGTGAAAACAAAGAGACAGTTAACACCGCCATAGCTACAGTAGGTATTGAGAGTTGAAAGGACATTAATGACTTACATTGTCATGAGTAAAAGTAAATTTGAGACTCCGTAATACGTATGACTCAAATCCTATACGAGTGAAAGTTCATCGTAATGTGGACATTGCTGACTAAATCAATGTAATTTAACGTTCTAGGGTTGACAAACATAATCATCTTAGCATCAAGCTCATTTGTTGCTTGATGAAGTTGTTCTGAAGGCTGATCGTGCTGTGTAGTCTGTACCAGCTATGGTTTCTTACAGGCAACTCGTGTTTGCGCGATCTGTCGCGCGTGTTTTCATGAGCTGCTACGTATTGTTCAATAAGCTGAACGTACCACCTTTCTCATGCGTTCACATCAGGGATATGTGTGTATTTCTAAACAATCATAAATATTATAACACACATGTGTTATAATATTTATATAGGTATAGACATTCAAGAGCAAACTTGAGTTAAAATTATGTACCTTTTGAACAAACCTCGATGCCGTAAGTAATTTGCGCATTGCTCTTAAAAATAAATGTATTTTTAAAGTTACAAATGCTAAAGAAATAAAGTCGTATTGCATTGACTTCAATTGCATCATCTACAGAATAAATTAATATTCTATGAATACTTGCACGCAGATTGCCGGCAGGTTCGATACGATGTACCTAATTTTACAAAGATCTATTTAGTTATTGAGTTCTGACGAGAACCGTCTTCTATTCTTGCACGTCGTACAGCATGGTAGTCAAAACATTCAATCAATATCATTTATAAAGCAATGTAAATATTCTTCGTAAATACGTGTACGTCCAATTTGTTATAAGTAAACGTTTACCTTTATTGGAACAATATATGAATTTGGTAGATGGGATAACCTTGAAAAACATCTGCTTATATCTAGTACAACGAATAGATAATTGCACAGCGCAATGCAATTAGATGTGTATATAATGTATATTTATCGTAAATAATAATGAATCTAGATATGTTTTGTGCATATACGAGTAGTTGTTAAACCCAATTATTGTACAATCCTTAAAATGAGGCTAAATTCTATCTGTTTATTCCGTTCTCATATAGAAATGAATACATATAAATAAATTGGTACCTATCGTGTGTGCTTAATTTTCTTTTAATTTTAGATCTAAATGGTAGATTCGTTGTAATTTCAGAACATTATGGTATTTTGTTTCAGATGGAAGCTAAACCTGAAGATTATGTTACTGAAGAATCCGAAGATGGCATGGATAGCGACGATCCACTTACCGCCACAGACACTAAATATGGAAAGAGTTTCAGGTCTGCTTAGCATTTGTGCTGGATTTACACAAGTTATTTATATACATTGATTTAAGTAAAATTTACTTTTAAATTGATCGCTATTATAATGCCAGAAAAAGTTTTCGTTTAAGTAGGTAAATAAATTTAACTCATCACTGGACTAGGAGCCCCCTGTTGGGCACCAATGATATATATATCTTTTCTTCACAGGCATTTCACTAGAGAAGCGTTACCTAGACTCGACAACTACAGAAACGTGCTATCTCTCCACGCAGCGCCAAGACCAACACTTGATGAGCTGCACAATGCTTCACTATCGCGTAAGGTGAGTCTTCATTTCTATTGTAAGACTTGTCATTGAATAAATTGGAATATATCTATTTAGTGCTTATTCAGCTATAATATTACTGGTCGAAAGCATCGAGTAGAATCGGTAAAAGATAACAAGGTCTTAGAAAGGTAGGGTAGGAAGTTTGCGGAGAAGAATATGGTTTTCAGCAGATTTGCGTGGTGAACACTAAACTATTCGGCCCTTAATGCCAAGGTTTTGATACCTGTAGTCTGAGGGTAGCATTTACTGTTAAAATCAAAGACAAATAATCTTTATTTCATAGGTAAGCAAATTACACTTCAAATTACACTTGAAATCGTCATACTGATTAAACTCTATTGCTCATTCGTGAGGCAGATTCCCCTGAGAAGAATGAGTAAGAGACTAGTTGCATTTTGTAAATACACATTTGAATACATTTATCATTACTATATTTAATTACGTCTTAGATCGAGACTACATGCAATAGCTAAACGGGTCACTAACACGGATTTAACGTCCATGTACGCAGAAGCTATGTAATAAATAACCTTATAGTATAAAGTTTTTGTTTCACTATAGTTTTAAACCACGTAAATGGCAAATTTTGAATATTAATCGGAATTTTATACTGAAAAGGTATACAGCGCCCCATGAGTTCAATAAAACAACAAATTTAGGATGCTGCTGGGGCAGTCGCGCTACTACAGTCTAGAACGCATCAGCTATTTACACTGAGATGTGTACGGTAGAGGCCGTGATTCGTAAACGCCAGGACTTTTTGCTGCAGTGGGTGCGCTGCGCGCCACCGCCACCAAGTGCTTGGCCTGGTAGTCGACAAGGTCGATGGTCCAATTTAACCGCATTGCATTTACACGATCTAGATGGGTAGCCAAATAGATATTTTGTTTCTAACGCATTGTGGATTCAATTTTGAAATGAATGATTAGTTGATTTTTGTTACACATCTACAAATGCAAATGATCAAACAAGTTAAAACGATGCGATTTCCATCACAGTGAAGTACATTGTATTTTGAGTTTTAAATGGTGCTAATAAGTAACAAGTTCGGAAGTTGTGACTGCGTGTGTCTTGACTTTGAATGTTGTTAATAAGACCTTTGTAATTTTTGATCACCTGATATATCTATTATAAGAATATCACGAATGCATTGCGGTTGTTTTGTTCAGGCATGTTTTTTCGTGTATTTTTAATAATTCGGAAGTAAGGTAAATAAGCTTTGACGTGGGTACGACGCAGTAATCTTTCAAATAGATTGTAATTGCGACCTCTCATTAATTAATTGGTCTGCTTTGTGCAGGTACAAAGCTGGACCTGACGTTTGCGTCGGTCCTCTTATGTACTTAGTGTAATGATACCTTCGTGTCTACTCCTACGAGTAATCATCACTCAGAAATAGGACCAATGTGACGTCATTCGTATTTAGACTACTGATTAAGAGCTGTTAGGTACTTTATGGGCCCAGTAGGGCAGGGACAATATTAGAGGTGTTTTATACATACATGTTTAAAAAATCTGGATTTACAGTTATCGCTTAAACTTTGCTATCTATTCTATATCATTATAATCTATTTAATTACATATTTATTCATTGTTTAATATCAACAACAACATGTTCAAGTGAACATGTTTTCAGTTATACATTAAGCTATTATTTAAATAATTGGAAGTTGAACTAACAGGATGAATTTCGTCCAATAAGTTCAACTTTTCAGAAAAGTTGTGCCTAGTTGAACTTATTGGAATATTTGGGTCCGATTAGTTCAACTGATTGAACTTATAGTTGAACTTAGTGGAATAGACCTTTTATTTTTATGATATATTTTATATGATTTGAATGCTTTATTGATATCATTTGTGATTGTTAAGTTGCATTATACCGAAAGTAATATTAGCAATCGAAACTTGTATGGCAAGCACGTCTTGGGAAAGTTCCACTGTTTAACCAGTTCGAGACTAAGGCGATTACGCACGGGCATGCCTGCCTCAGCGATCTTGTAACGCTTGTCACATTGATTTGTATGGAGTCGCTTACAGCAAAACACACAGCTGTCGAGTCGCGGAGTCATGCGTGAATGCGATAGCCGTGTGTGACGCTTTGATTTCATACAAAGCAATGATATGTTAATGTATGTTGCTGTGTACAGTCAACGCCTGAGAATCGTCTTAATCGACCCCGATAACTTTCCATAGGTTCAAGTTCTAAATTAATAATAACTTTCCGTTGAGTATTTGATAAGGAGAATTCGATTCTCGAAATGTAATTGATTCATGAACTGCGTGCTCTGGGTAACTTGTGTCCTTTAGTAAATTCAAATTCAAAAGTAATCTTTATTTCATAGGTAGGTAAGTGTAATTCACTTAAAATCGTCATATTGATTAAACTCTACTGATCATTCGTAAGGCAGATTCCCCTGAGAAGAATGAGCAAGAAACTCTCGGGGAAACTCTTTGTAAATATGTACTGCCACTTTACCTATTTCTGCCGCCAAGTAGTAATATGTGCATTACTGTGTTCCAGTTTTGAAGGGTAAGTAAGGGTGCTGGTGAAATTACAGGCATATGGGACTTGTCAACTTATGTCTCAGGGTGACGGGCGCAGTGACAGTGCCCCTCAGATCTTTGCGATTTAAAGCTCTGAGTGGCGCTGCAACTGTTATGGACAGGCGTGTAGCTATTTGTTCGTCCCATCACTTGATATTATACAAAAAAAGATCGTTTGTATACATTCATCATTTACAATTTATACTTATATTTATCATTGACAACCTCAGACGCGTAGGTCCCGGGTCCATTCTCGGCAGGACAAATTTGGGAAATGAATTTTTCTGAATTGGTTCTGATCTGGGTGTTCTGGCAAGTGCCCCAGTTCTCTGGTACTCATAGTACAGGGAATCCCCTAGTTTGAAATCAGATGATTGGTATGGTTGTTTGGCACATTATATATATATATATATTACTACTGTACTTTCAAGTATTTTTATATTTTTGCGAAAAAATGCTTCTGGTGCCTTGGGCTTCCCGGAACTCGTGTCCAATATTTCTTTTATAGCCCCTACAAACTCCCTTGGGTTTAATCATTGAGTGTATAACCAGAAATAGGGAAGATAGATAAGGGCATCCATCCCTGGCAACTCATCAGGTAAATGGGCCTTATATCACTTTTAAATATCAACTCTCGTTTGCGCTGAAATCACAAATTAGTAAACAGAAATAGTACAGCGCCAACGACTGACCTGTGTGTACGTCTCCGTATATTCCAAATAATTCTGTATTTATTGTAACAAAGATAATAATGATAACTCTAACAATGGGGGTTGTTCAATTCGGTGGTGTGGGAAAAACAGCAAAACATCTAATTACAAAACAGACGGAATCACATTTCATCGATAATTGAATATGTAATTTTTCAATTACGTATTACGTATGTACCATTATAGCAAAGCTCAAGTTAAACTAGTCGATTTGAAGTGAAACTATTGACGACACTCGTCAATTGTTACGAATTCGGGCTGACCAATCGGAAGGCAGTTGTCGCAGTAATGATTTGGCAGAATAGTTTTCAAGCAAATTAAATGACATTTCCTCTCTATTTCTGGTTATATACTCAATGGGCTTAACTCACTTTTGTGCGTACTCTTCGAATTTTCGGCGGAATGCATATCTCTTGCGTGCGAGTAATAGCTTCAATGTATTGTCCAAGCAGGTTGACCTTTTTGACACTAGTTATGCATCGGTGAAGCGTCTTATTAGTAGTTTTTTCTTTGGCGAGTAGGTATTTACTAAGTGTTGCGAAAATATCGTTACCTATATAGTATAGTTAGTTATATTTATTATATTAGTTATACAGGGTGGAAATTTGTAATGCCACCTGGAGGGAAAGTACTCTAAATACTGGAGATATAAATTTTTACTTAAAGGAAACATTCCTTTATTTTTTAAAAGAAATAATACTGCATTCAAAGATTTTCGAAAATTGCTAGCCACACGCGGTAATCGAACCCGCTAAAATCTAAAAAAAAAAATGCGCCCCGTACTTTTATTAAATCAATCGATAGGGTCAATTATGAGGATGAAATTTCTCTTATAAACCATGAAATCTGGAGTTATAAATTCAATGGGTCAAGATAAAGCACTTTTACTCAAAGGTCCATCAGATTACTTGTTAATTATCGTTGACATCATTTATCTATTAAAATGACGAAGTACTATTTAGATAAGAACATTGTAATTTGCACATGTTTGTAATGCAGACTTTGGTCATTCATAGATTTTCGAAAATTTCTAGCAACACGCGGGAATCGAACAACCATATTTCTCATAATTCCGCACCAAACGTTGAAAGAGAATCTTACTTGATTGTTAGTTTCATGAACACGAACAGGATTCACTCGAGACCAATAATGGTTATTGCGGCGGTTGTACATGCCGTTATTACTGAAGTTGGTTTCGTCAGACCATACAATGTTATTCAAAAAATTCGGGTTACGGTCAACTTCTCTTAGCATGTTTTGACAAAATTTAAGTCGTCTCTCACAATCCCCAGCCGGCCGTCACGATAACATTTATACTTTATACTTTTTAAGCATTTGAAATACGCGAGTGTGGTTCGTTCCAATATCTTCTGCAGCATCTCTGCTTTAAGCCTTTGGAAATGCTTCGAAGTATTTTAAAACTCTCTCTCATCTGAGCGTTGTCCCGGTTGCGTCCTCAGCAGTGTTGCTGCGAAGCCCGGGGTCCGCTTTCCTGCCTTTTCTCCTCCACTTTGCACGTTCTTCGGCATCCTTAGTGGTGAGACCATTGGCACGCATATCACCCTTGGCGACGTCAAGCCAGCACTTCTTGGGTCTGCCCCTTCTACCGGGGCCCGGCGGAGGCGGCATAGCCAGACATTTGTTTCCCACGTAGTATGCCGGTTTCCGTAAGATGTGGCCGTACCAACGTAGGCGGCTTTCTTGCAGTTTATCTGCAATGTCACGGACGTGAAGGCTGCC